GCCTGTATATCAACGGTACATGCTTCAACAACTCTACGCCAAATCTGAGATCTCACCATATGCCGTTTCCATGGAAATGCAACCCTCGCCATAAAACACAATGTTGTTGTAACTCCTATGAAAGTGGTCAAAACAGCACCAGACTTCAGATGACAGTTAATGGTCCAGCCCTCAACATGTCTATGTGCCACTAGTGAGTTTTCCTCAAAAGCTGTTGCCATGGCAACATATCCCTCGCCGTAAGACACAATATTGCTATAACTCCTGTGTAAATGGTCAAAAAGTGCTCAAACTTCACATGTGTACTAACAGTCCAGCCGTGAAGACATCTATTTGACAGTTTTGAGGTTTCTTCAAATGCCGTTGCCTTGGCAACACAATGCTCACTATGAAACACGGTTTTCTCACAACTTCAGTTCAAATGCTCCAAACGGCCCAAAACTTCACAGGTTTGGTAACGATGCAGCCATCAACGCATCTAAGCGTATTATGGGGTGTCATCAAATACCGTTGCCATGGCGACAGATCATTCGCCATCAAGTTAGTTCCAAAAGTTTGCAGTTCAAATATTCTGCAGCTTTTCCAAGCCTTTTTACTTTATTTTCTTCTCTTATCACACATTCAAGCCCCCAGTGTGCTTGTGTCATTTCAATCTAAATTGTTCTCTTTCTTCTTACACATTACATTTCAGCATAGCAGTTTAGCGTCAGCTTTTCAGCATAGAGCATTCCCACTAGCAATTTCTTCAGGAATTGCATTCTCTGGTTCACATTGCACCGTGAACATTGTGATATTCTCCTTTGCAGCCTGTTTGGGAAATGTCCCCCACAAACAAGCAGCGATGATCTGGAGCGGAGCCGCGGCAGGCATGAATCTGTCTGATGAGTCCTCCTATCAAGAGGAGGGGCTGCTGGGTAACTCCACCTGGGCCTACTCCTACTATCACCAGAACTACACCCTGCCCCCCCCATTGCTACCAGGCAAGACCAGCACCTCCAAACCTGCAGCGTGCGAGCAGGTCCACATCGCAGTCGAGGTATGGACAGGGTGCTCCTGATCATCAATATGCAGCAATTTTTTTACTCTTTCCTATCTTATTAAAACTTTGCTATTTCCTTTTTAGGACAAGTCTTCTGCTTTTCTGCTCATCTACTCTAACCTCCCTCGCTGTGACACTGTGTTCTGCTCCCATCAGGTCTTCCTGATCCTGGGTATCATCTCCCTGCTGGAGAACATCCTGGTCATCACAGCCATAGTAAAGAACAAGAACCTCCACTCACCCATGTACTTCTTCGTCTGCAGGTGAGAGGTTCACAACATATGATCTTAGAATCAAAACTCTCTTTTTATATTGACATGTGCCAGGTCTGCATGATTAGTAAGTAGGTGGATTATTAAACGTGCACCATTCTCCAGTGTTTCGGATAAAACATTTGAAAAGAGAAACTGTTTCATAAATTCAAAATCTATTTCTCTGCAGTGCTGTGTTCTTATGTGGGTGCCGATAAATTCATTGAATGGTTGAAGTTTCAACAGTAGCCTTATGTTTTGTTGTGTTTCAGCCTCTTTGAAGCTATTGCATAGTTAAAGAGCAACTTGCAGGTTAGACACACCAGTGAATAAATGTGTAGGAAAATGATGAATACACTAGATTTTCAAAAATATATACATAAATATACACTACAGTGACATCTGGCGTCGTTTCTGTAAGACATTTTTACTTCCGCATAAAAAAAGGCCTCCCCACGTGCCTCTACCGCGTGTGACGTAACATGGGGGAGAGCGGCCGGTCTAATGTATGAATAAACATGGATCACAATGCTAGTTTTGACACAGAAGAGGTTGAAAATATATATTCGAATGCATATGATTATTATTATGAGCCTGCTAGGCGTCCAAGAGACCAGGAGCAGCCAAGGATTAGAAGAAATAACGGCCATCGGCGAGAAATGGAGCTGTGTTGTGAGGAGAACCAGTGAAGAACAGGGCAGCCGTCATTTACCTAATTCACACCAACGCAACTCCGGTTCAAGCTCCGTGCTAGAGCTTTTCAGGTTCAGAACTAGTTCTTCGGTTTAGCTCCGGCTCTTTTCACACTACCCAGAGTCCGACTGGTGCTGCGTCATTGCGTCATCGTTTGCGTCATGACGTAACCGTTTGCGTGCCTGCTTCATAAAGCCAAACCGCGCGGAAACCCCTCACAGCTGACACCGACAACAACAACAATGGCCGATTGTGCTCCAGCTTCCTCTG